TCTCCCCTAAAAAGCAGGCAGGGGTTTGCTGGTCATAGGTGCCCCCGTGCGCTCAGAGCCTCTCTTCACTCTGGCTGCCCTCCCTCTGGCACCCCCGGCCTGTGGGGGCTTGCAGCACAGCTTCTGTAAATGGGGTTTGCCCTGAGCTTGGGCTCCGCCTGCTGTGCTTTCTTTCTGCCTGCAGATAACTCAAATTTGTGGCTCTGCATGCAGGAGATAATGTGAGTACGCCTCTGTGGAGTGTGGGAGGAGATCCCTGTGCTTCTCTTCATTGCCTTTAGAAACACATAAGGAGGGAGGAAGACTGTTGGTTTTTTTTCTAAATGCAAAACTGCTAGAAATGATTGTTTGTTTTTAAAAGGAAAGAAAAGTCCTTTGGAAACTGGATACTGCCAGGGTCTGCCTGCTGGAGTGCTGAGTGGGGAAGACACCACTGCCATGCTGGAGGCCTCTGGGCAGTCTGTGCCAGCAGCAGAGCACGATGCCTTTCCTGCATGGCTTCCGCAGGATCATCTTCGAGTATCAGCCCCTGGTAGACGAGATCTTGGGGGTGCTGGTGATCCAGGATGCGGAAGGGCAGAGTGCCCTTGAGAGGTAACTGGGGGGCTGTGAGCAGAGCTGTGGGGCTGAAGGCCCCCTTGGTGTTTATAGGGGTGATGGCTGGAGCTCAGTGGTGTGGCCAGGGTCAGACCCAGCTGGTTTTGAACAAGCCCTGGTGCTGGTGAGCAGCTCATCCCACAGACCCTCCTCTTGCTGCTGATCTTTGGGAACGTGGGGGTGGAGCAAAGCAAACACAGAGGTTGTGTGTGCTCCCCAGGAACAGCCCTTTCTGCCTGACCCATGGCAGTAAAACCAAAATTGGGGTTAGAGTCCCATTGGTTATGGGACAAGATGAGATGCCAGGACTTTTTTCTTTTTCTCCCTGGTGCTACTTTGACCCTTGCAAACACACCTGCATTGCTGAGTAACTGATTGTTTCTGTCTGTCTTGAGCCCTGCCTGTCTGGGCAGTGACAGGAGCCAGCTCTCAGCTGTGAGACGAGTCTTAGAGAGGGAGACCCACTCCCCGTTTTATCAGGAAGGCGTGAGCTATGCCCTGCTGAAGGTCATCGAGCTGGGGCTCGTCCCTGCTGCAGAAATCCTCCTGGAGTTTGGAGCTGACCTCAGCTTTGAAGGTAAGGCTGGTGGGAAGGGTGCTGGGCCTGGGTCTGTGTAATATGGGCCCTCCCCAGGGCAGGTGTCAGGGCTATTCTGGGGAAGCCCTTGCTTCCCTCTGACTCTGTGTTTTTGTCCTCAGATCCAGTCACTTACTACACCCCCCTCCACATTGCAGTGCTCCGCAACCAGCCAGACATGGTGGAGCTCCTGGTGCGCCATGGGGCCGACATCAACCGCAGAGACCGGGTATGGGCTGAGCTGCCTGGGCATGGCCCAGCTGAGCCCCCTTGAGCCTTAACTTCAAGGGAAGGATGCATGGGGACAGCCCTCCCTGCTCCCCACCTCCTAGGCCTCACTGCATGCTGCTTCCCCTTGGAGACTTCCTGTGCCTGCTGTCTGTAGCTCTCCAGTGCTGTGGCAGAAGATCAGGTTGCCTTTGGCTAAGCAAACCTCCTCCTGCTGTGGGGCCATGGGTGGGAAGAGGCTGGAGTAGACAAACCTCAGCCTGTGGATACACTGGGAAAGGTTCACTTCGACTTTTGGGAATGGGTTCAAATATGCTCTTATGTTGGCTGTGATGAAGCCCTAGAAGCACCTTTCTGGAGGCTCTCACAAATAGTCTTTAATACTTGTGTTTGTTTTTTTTTTCTCTTGCTTGGTGCAGATCCATGAGAGCAGTCCCCTTGACCTGGCCAGCGAGGAGCCCGAGAGGCTGCCATGCCTTCAGCGGCTGCTTCAGCTGGGGGCTGATGTTAACGCAGCTGACAAAAACGGTCTGTGTGCCCTGTCCAGCTCCCCCAGCCTGGGTGCCTCCTGCAGTCAGACCTCCTGGGTGGGCTAGAGCAGGGCACGGGGTCCAGATCCTTCTGTTTTGCTGCTGCAAATGCTCTCTGGTTGTAAACTGGTTTGGAAGTTGGGTGCAGGCGGCAGAACGTCTCTGGTGCTCTGTGTATCTTGCATCTTGTCTATGTGAGGTGCAGAAGGAGGCTGAAACCAGCTCTGTGCAGCCCATGGGAGATGGGATGAGGCCTTCATAGCCTTGGGTGCTCCTGTGCCCTAAACCCCACTCTGCCATGGCACACATGCCCTCTGGGGCCACCACCAGTCCTGCAAATGGGGCCTGTCACGCTGTCCTCACAGCTGTGCACTATCATGGGAACAGCTGGAGCCTGCCAGAAGGGGGAGGGCTGTTTCTTCCTATTTTTGGCCATCTGGTTGGTGGGTGGATTGTTTTCCTTCCTGCTTCTTAGGGTGTCACCCTGTTTTCATCTGACTAGTTGCTCCATTGCAGGAAAGACAGTGCTCCTGCACGCCCTGGCCAGCAGTGACGGTGTCCAGATCCGCAACACCGAAAGCATCCGTCTCCTGTTGGAAGGAGGTGAGGGCAACCTTCTTCCCTCCACACGCAGTCCCTTCAGGTGTAGCACTGGCCAATTCCTTATAAAGCACAGGGCACTGCCCTCCCAACTCCTTTGTGTTCCCACCTGGGCAAGTTTAAAGCCTTGCAGTGCCAGTTAGTGCAGTCCTGGCCTCATTGTCTGTGGTGCCAGTTATGTTCTCTGTCCCTCCAGGTGCAAACGTCAGGGCCACCACCAAAGATGGTGACACTGTCTTCACCTACGTCATTTTCCTGCTGGGTGAGATGGTGTGCAGCAACACCGAGGAGGCGCAGGTGATCAGTCGGTTCTGCTTTCGTGTCACACAGCTGCTGCTGGCTCACGGTGCCAACCCCAGCGAGTGCCCAGCCCCTGAGTCCCTCACGCACCTCTGCTTCAAAAGCTTCAAACGCCACTTCCCACTGCTGCGCTTCTTGCTGGAGTCAGGTGCTGCCTACAACTGCTCCCTCCACGGTCCCTCATGCTGGTCGGGCTTTCACATCGTCTTCGAGTGCCTCTGCTCGCACCTCAGTGTCTCTGAAGATGACAGCTTCTCTACAGACCTCATCCAGAAGGGTCAGACTCTGCTGGAGCTCATGATGGCCAGTTCACAAGCCATCAAGCTGCCCAGCAACTTTGAGGTCAACACCAGCAGCTGTAGGTACCACGGGGAAAAGGTCAGGACTCTCTTCTGCTCTCTGAAGCAGCTGGAGCGCTCCCCACAGGCGTTGAAACATCTCTGCAGGGTGTTTATCCGGCAGCGCCTTAAACCATGGCCAGTAGATGTCAAAATCAAGGCTCTACCTCTTCCAGACAGGCTGAAGTGGTACCTCCTCATCGACCACACTGCTGCAGGGCATGAGGACCTCTGAACCTGATCGATGCCTCTATGTCTCCCCCCTCTATGGTCGCAGTGTGCCTCCAGGCACCAAATCTCTGCTCTGGGCCAGTTTTCTCCACAAGAAGTGGACTGTCCACACCCCCACAGCTTGGCCAGTGCTGCCTGCAGTGTCTGTCTCTGCTGGTTTTTTTTTTTGGGGGGTGCTTTTTTTGAGCATGATGCTGTTGCTCTGGGGCACATCATGGCACATGGGGGTGAAGAAGAGCCCCTTGTGTGTCAGAGAGCTGGATACTGGAGCAGAGGGCTGGTTTGGGTGGGTTTTAAGAAAAGGCCTGGCAGGCAGGACCAGTGAGGCAGTTGGGGTGGTGTGACTGGGTCCTGTCCCCTCTCTTTCCAGCCTTGCTGGGTCCAGGGTGGGTGAAGCAGTGCCTTAGGCAAGTGGCAGATTTGTGAAATGCCTCTGGGTGCTGGGGGAAGAGGTGTTCCCTGTGCCAGGGCAGTGCTGGCATCTGTGCCCTGGTTTCCTGCTTCTGGTGCTGCTGGTGGGAGCAGCTGTGGTCTGGCATCTCCACATGGATGTGAGTGCCTCCTTGCTCACCCGGGCTTCTGACCAGGACCAGGAGCATGGTAGGGTGAGGGGGAGCAGGGCTGGCAGTGGTGGTTGGCTGCTCATTACCTGATTAGTCTCTGCTGGGAACACCCCATCCTCTGGCACAGAGGGTCACCCACCAAGGACATCTCTGAGGTGCTGGCCTCCAAAACAAGCAAATGGCTGTTTCTCTGCTTTGTGGTGTAATCTCTGTGCAAGGATGAGGAACGGGTGGTGAACTGTCCAGTGCCTTGTGCCTCCTGCCCTGTTCCTTGGCTCTTCCCCTTGCTGACTGCTCCCAGGACTGCAGTCTCCCCTGCTTCCTTCGCAGAAACAAGAAATTGCCGCAGGACTCGAGGTTTTCTTTCCAGCCTGCTACTGGAACCTGCAAACTCTGGGGCTGCACATGGAGGTCCTGTGTCCCAGCCTTGCCACAGCTACCTGGCTCCCCCTTCTAGGCATCTGCTTTCTCGAGATGTGCCAAAGACTGACTGCAGAGCTGAGCCCCCCACATTTTTTGTTGTTTTGGTTTTTGTTTGTCATGGGGGACATGCAGAAGAGGATGAAAAGCGTAAAAATGTGTTCTGAGCAGGTACAAATTACAGCAGGTGGATGGGGGACCCATGGGCAGTTTGGCTGCACAAGGGTTGTCTCCCCTCACTGCCCTCCTGGCAGCATTTGTGTTTTGTGTTCTCCCACCCTGTGGCACTGGAGCTGTGCGTCTTGATGAACTGATGTTTTAAAAAAAAATAATAATAATGTGATCAAATACTCCTCTGGTGTCTGAAATGGGAAATGAGCAATTAAATGAAGCCTTTTGTAATAACAACAAGGGGCTCCTTCTGCAGGAGAGAGGAGGCAAAGGAGAGGGCTCTGTAGGGATGGGGGGAGTTGTGAGCCTGGCTGAGGGACAGGCTGCAACTGGGGTCTTCTCCCCCACCCAGCAAGTTGTTGTGCCAGCACTGGCTGTGTTAGGTTGGATATGGCCAAGGAGGAGCTGGGTGGTGGTGTGGGATGCCGGGGGAGCAGCTGTAGTTTCACAGCATTGGACTGGGAGGTGCTGGACATCACCATGAGCCTGCAGTAATGGGCTTGGCGGGTCCAGGGCTGCTCAGAGTGGGCTCCCCATCAATGCCCAGAGCACACCAGCTCTCTCCTGGTGTTGCAGGGCTTTGTCTGGGTTACCCCAGCCATGCAGGAGGGTATGGGGGGACCCAGGATTACATCCACCACCTCTGCTGCTGCACATGTGGGACACCTGCTCAACGGTTTCATGGAGAGGCCCCCACAAAGCCCCAGAACCTGGTGTCCCCCAACCCACTGCAGAGAATTGGCAGGCTTCTCCCATTCTTCACTCAGCTTGTTGCTGCGAGGAGCAGCAAGTTCAAGAGTGGGAAAGGGTCAAACACCCAAGCAAGGAAGGGAGCCCAAACCCTCACAGAGGTGCTCTGAGCTCCTGTTTGCTGATAGGAGCCCTGTGTGACTGTGGTCAGCAACCTGCTGGTGCCCACAGAGCAGGCCTCTTGCAGGGAGACCCTCTTGCTCCTGTACAGAGCCCCCAAAGGTGCATCCGACAAAGCCCACGTGCAGAAGTGCAACAGCAGGAAAATGTATTTGGCAAACACCTTTTCACAAACAGCAGCAATTTGGAAGATGAAGGCCCATCCTCGTCACCAGCCCTGGAGAGAGGGAGTCACGACACCCTCACTGCCGTATGCCACCCCATGATGAAGGCACAGTCCTCACCCCTGGCCGCAGCAGGAACCACTGTGCTGGCCTGTGTTCTGGGGTGGCCCCGGAGAGACCTTCTCCTCCTGCCCTCATCTCATGGCAAAGGTGTAGACGTGGTAGATCTCATCGGGGAAGTTCTCTTGGCGCTCCTCAGCCAGGAGGTGCAGCCCAGCTCGGCGGATGATCTTACGGACCACATCCAGGTCCCGGCAGACGCTGCTGTCCACATCGTCCATGATCACACCCTCCTGTGCCATGTTGTCCTTGATGACCACGATGCCGTTGGGCCGCAGGCCGGCACGGCACCGCTTCAGGAAGTCAGAGAGGTGATTGTCGGTGAGATGTCCTGGAGGGGAGGAACGGGGGTTAGAGGGCATGGGGAAACCGGGCAGGAGGAGCAGAGGAGACCAGGAGGATGCGGTTGGGATCCCTCCTGATCCAAGCAGCTAAATACTTGAGCAATTTGCAGGTGAAAGCTCTAGCTTGGGGATGTCCCATTTGTGTTCTGCACGCTCTATCCAACTCCATCCACCCCACACCTCTGCCCTGGCTTCCAAGGGCTTGGGGAAAAAGACCCCATGGTACAGTGCCCTCAGAGTGCCCCTCCAAGGCAGGGCAGATCCCCAATCCAGCCCCCCACCCATGCTATGATGTCCATCCTTCATGCAGACCTCAAGCTGCTCTCCCCAAAGCTCTCCCTGGTGTGAAGGCACCTGCCCCTCCGGGGAAGCTGGATGGAGGACAGGCTGGTGAGACCCCTGCAAGCCAAGCATCCCTCACCAATGACCCACTGGATCCAGATGACATCGTAGGAGTTTGGCTCGGGGCTGAAGTCCTGGAGGCCGCAGCAGAAGTAGTTGCGCACCCGCCTGCCCTCTTCTCCCAGGTAGCTCTTGGCCTTGGTGAGGAAATCCTCCGTCACATCCACCATGTCCACTGTCTTGAAGAGGGGCAGCAGCAGCCGCTTGGTGATCCTGCCAATGCCTGCCCCGCAGTCCAGAGCACGAGTTGTCCCTGTCCGGTTGGGGCCATCCTGGAACAACAACCATGAGGGGTTGAATCCCACCATGAGATACCCACAGAGAAATTGGGCAACCATGCAGGATGGGGCTGAGGTATGGGGAACCCACTGCAGGCCAAAGCATGTGCATAATGGAGGATCCCACTGAGCAACTCCGAGAGATGAGCCCAGCTCTGTGCTGTGGGAAGGTTGAGGCTTTGGGAGCGTGACAGACCATGCCACCTACCCGCAGAAACCTCTGCAGGAACTTCCTGGAGCTGTTGATGTCGATGCTGGAGATGTGGCCATAGCCCCCCAGCATACCGTCCACCGTGGCGGGCACATCCTTCCAGTACTTCTCTGCCTTGGAGTAAAACTCAAACTCATTCTCCACCACCTCGCTCGTCATGCTGGCCAAGGGGCACGCACCCACGTGGGACTCGCTGCTCCTCCGAGACAGGGGACAAATCACCAGTCAGGTCCAAAAGAGCCGCAGGTGCAAAGGCCCCTCACACCAGGGAGGCAGGCCACAGCTATGTGAGTACCCCAATTTCTATTTATCGCCCCTTCCCCCTCCCCAGAGCTATTTCAAACCCTAAAAACCTTCAGATGAGAGTAAGAAAAAACAAAGATCTAAAGACTGGTAATTTCTGGACACCAACAGGTCCAAAACCCCTTCCTGGGCAGGGATGCCTCAGCCAAACCAGGCATTCCT